GCCATAATCCAACTATGATCGATGTATTAAAAGGACATATGACGACGCGCGGCGGTCGGGAAGTACTTCCAGTGCTGCAAGATTTGAAGCAAGATGAAAAAGTGGGAAAACAATTCCCTAGCTCGGCGAACAGGAGAAGCAATCATTCCCCCCGCTCAAGGTGTCTAGCGATATTGTCGCTAATCGTCCGGGGCTACTGCCCGGTACCAATCTTGGTGATTACCTGGGCGATTATGTACAGTTTTAAACGTTAGAGGTAGTAGAGATCTTCAAATACGAGCACGGGAAGACTCTCGTCAAACATGATCATCCTCCTCTAACAACAATGATGCGAAGATTGCATGAATGGTACATGGATGCCTGCAGGAAGTTTGGGACTGATAGTCTATTGATGACAATTAAAGATGAGCATGACCTCGTTGGAGTTAAAGTGATGCACGTTGAATTTGTGGAGTTATTTCAGTTATTCAATCAAGACGCCTTCAACAAACAGCTCATGACTTGCTACTTTCTGTAAGTATTACTTCTGTAATTAAGTCTCTATAGCTCAGCTCGTTCATTGCATGTATATATAATTATCCTCACTATATTATGCAGACTGAAGATCGGCGAATGCAAAAAAGGACAAATCTATGACCTTGGGTTCATTAGCCCAAATACCATAAATGAATGGTCGGTTCAAAACAGTCAAAGATACCGAGGACAACTTGCTACAATTGTTCCTTCAACATCAAAACAAAGGGAAAATACTCTTTCCTTACAACTTCAAGTGAGTGTTACTGTCTTGTGCATATTCGGTTTCGCTTACTGGAGGTTATAGTAATGTAATTGATGAGTTATACATGCGCAGGTTCCACTTTATTCTGCTAGATAATAAGCTTGACGGAGGAGTAGTAACTGTCTTAAACTCGAGATGTAAAGATCCCCAGGAGTATGCAGACATGACTGCAATGCTCCAGAAGTAAGTTCAATCATTATCGCACCATATCGGCAACTTTGGTTCATTTCCTGATATCAAGTAATCATTTCCTTTGCATGGCAGGGTTTGTAAAAAGTTCACCGGAATGGTTCCGGGTCTGCAGAAGGAGCTGCGATTTACACACCCCAAAGTAAGTAGTACTAGCTAGTTCCACGCATTTCTCATTGATTCTTGTTTCATCAATACCATTATCATGCTTGATTATCAGTTTGATTAAACTCTATTCTCGTAAAGTGCTTGTGGCAGGAAGGCAGCAATAATTTATGTGGATAATAAGTTTGTGAGTTCATCCGCCACTCGACCTCTGAGCGGGGCTACTCTGACAAACAATTTGAAGTACGTAAACAATAATATTCACAATTTAATTTTATTACCATCAATTGTGTTGAGTTTCATTCATATATATGTATTGACCCCTTCTTTAAATTAGATGTGGGAGATGCGGCAAGAACTCCTACCACATGATCGCATACGAGCAATTTAAGAGGATTTGGTGGTATTCTTTCTTGACCACGTCATACATAAAGATGGAGAATACCATATAGAGATTCAATGGGAGTTTGGCGTTGGATGATGTTAGGGATGTTATATTGTATATATGTAGTAGTGTCGGATAGATATATGAAAACTTGTTGTTCGACCAATCTCCGAGAAAGAAAGGTCATTTCTCTCTGTATATGTTCATGACGATCTTGTGTAATTAATGGTTCCTTCATTTGCTTAATAGCGTTGAGTTCTCTCTATATGTAGTAACTAGCGTTGACCAAGCACGGAGAAAGAGAGATCACTTCTCTCTATATGTAGTAGCTATAGCTAACATAATATGAACCCCCTAAATTAACCCTCCA